CAAGAATGTGATAGTCAGTCTTCCCCTTGCCCTCAATTTTCTTATTTAGCACTCTTAAAAGCTAATTTATTTTTTGTTTTAATGAACACACTACTTGGTCTATGTGTTTTCAACAAAATTGATGCCTCCAGGAATAAAATGTTCCTTTTGAATCTGGAACATCATGTATTTTGGGATTTATTTATGTATGCAAGAGAAAAGCCTTATACCCCAAGCCCCTCTTCTGCTTCTTTTCTACATTTTAGTAATTTGACAATGTCATGCTGGGTACTGATATGGAAGTAAAATAGATGCATCCATCAAGCAGTCTTGAATGTCTCTGGAAAAGAGACTTTTGTGGTCTACAAAAACTGCCATTTAGCATGCTGTTGCCAAAAAAGATACTTACACAGGTGCTTCAACACAAGCCAGCTCCATCCAAGTAATCCCTGCAGGCTGGAGAATGTATCTCAGAGCTGCTCAGTATTAATGAGTCTGTGGACATGTCTCAAAGGAGAAAAAGTTATGATGTGCTGCTTTTGAACTATTTACCTTCATGCACATTCACAACGTGAACTTATCTTCATCTCTGCATCTGCCCTTCAGTATCAAAATCCAGAGGTTCCAGGGCTCTCTGGAACAGAACAACCTGGGTGCACCTGCCCACATGTATTAGGGGGACCCAGTCCTCCAGCTCCTGAATGCTTCACAGGCCAAGGACAGCCCTGCCATGTGCCTGCACAAGTCTGAGAATGTTGGTATGGCCAATACAGTTCTGGTTTCCTGTCACTAGCCAGAAACATTTCTGTCTCTGCATTATGAATATTGCATTAATGGTATGGTCTGCAGCTCTTGATTACATCCCTTCTGGATAGAAGATGAGACATGGCAGCTCTTGGTGATTAGAGGAGCATCTGTCAGTACCTATTTATCTCTTAATATTCATGCTATAAATAACTGGAAATGTTTATACTTAGGTCTGTATGTCTGTTCCTTTATTCTGCATGTAAAAATTCTGCTGACTCCTAATTTAAATATTCACATTTGCTGTAGGAAGGTGTAATGTGAGATGGAGAATAACCATGTTTTAATGCTGATGAAATCTCTCCATGTTATCTAAACACAGCTGAATTTATCAAGTTTCCTATGGGCTGGTGTCCTTCATTGTCATCACACCCAGCACCAGAAATTCAGATCCACAGCATATTCTTAGAACAGACCCACTGGGCAAGAGGCAGGTGGTGCAGGTGTTGGTTGTGTGTCCCTGCTGAGAAGATTCTGTGCCACTGATTTGAGCTGATTTCTTTCCTCTCTAAGGATGGGAATATAGGTGTATTTAGCTGTCAATTTTCATATAGATGCTGGGAAATGACCTTTGACCCTTCTGGTTTTCTAGAATTTAAAATAGGCTAGTAAAATTAAATATTCAACAATGTGATTAAATCAAGCTAGTTCATCTTTTTGTACTTTGTTTTGGGAATGGGGGAGGGATTAATTCTGGAGCTTTTTGGGTTTTGAATATTGGAATAAAAATGTAATATAGAGATCATGCATCCTTAGCATTAAAAATTGAATGAATAATAAAAAACTCATGTTCATTTAAATATCTTAAATTTTAAAAAATTTAAAAATTAATTAAACAAATGAAATTAAATAAAACAACATTGTGTGCCTGAAAATTGTGGTTTCATGGTGCTGTTTCATTTCAGGGAAATGCAACTCTTAAAATTATTAGCACAAAGTATTTCTTGTTATTATTATGGTAGTAACAGATTTATTTTCTTTGACATTTTAATGTTGAAATCTTGAACAATTTATCTGCCCATTCACAATTCATACATTTTACATGATAAACTTCTTGTAAACTCATTAATTTTCTGCCCCCATTAAGCATTCAGAAAAGCAGAAGAATTAAAAAAATTTCTAGATGTAAGCCTTGGAGAAGTTTTGAAGTGGTAAAATGGAGAAAAATTAAGGGATTGTAGGAGCTTATGGGAGAAATAACCTTTTGTAGCTTCTTTGTAATAGTCAGATGACTTTTGCCTTCTATTCAATAATTTGTGCATTGCATTGATTATTTATGCCCAGCAAATTGACTGTTGTGTGGTGGTTCAATGGTGCTCTTTAAATAGAGTGAGAGAGCACACAACATGCAGACCTAGTTAATGCAGAGCATGTACAGTTTCCTCCTATAACCATAATCTAGAAAACATATTCTCAACTTCCTCAGGAAAAAATATTTTCATTTCTTTTCCCTCCGTAGTTTGGTTAGGTGTTTCTGGTTGGGTGTTTGGTGGGGAGTTTTTTTATAATTTGGGGGTTCTTTGATGACTGCTCGTGGAGGTGAGATGGGAACGCTCAAGCGCTCTGATTTAATGAGGAGCCCAAGAGTGGAAATGCACCAAAATCCTCACATGCAGCCCAAACAGCTGCTCTGGTACCCACAGTGGGCACCAAGCACTCGGGCACCTTTCAGTTCCTCCACGCTGCCAGTGTCTGCCAAACACAGAGGGAAATTTGTAAATCTGCGGGACAGTGTGAAAAAGAGCCCTACAAAAAGCACAGCAAAAGTAAAAGCTGCTAGTGGCTGGGTGTCTGACGGCTCGTGCTCTAATTGCTCTCTAGGAAAGGTAGGTGTTGCACTACGTGCTTGGAGATGTGCATTTTTGTACAAACTGTAGAAAGTATGTTGCATTTTGTTTTCTGTCGTTTTATCCCTGCTGTTTCTAATGGCTTCCTTTCTTAATTTCCTTTTGTATTTTATTGCTAGAAATCAAAGTAGCAATTATTGAAATCAGATTGGCAAAGGAATACTTGCTCTCGTGTTTTCCAGTAAAGGTTGCTGTGCTTTATACAGTATGGGGTTTTACAGTAATTTCTTGAAAGCAAGGAAAGTTTAGTTTGCTGGATTTTTGTTCTCCAAAGTGTGTCTTGTTGTTGTTTACTAAGAACAGTATTATAGAATTTGCTGGCTTAGTTGGTCTCCTTGAGGATGTCTATGATACTCTGATTTACCTCCATATGAGTTGTAGTGGAGGAGGCTCTACAGGAACACAGCCAGGATGCTTGGAGGAGCAGGGAGCTTTTAAGGTTCAGTGGATCCTAAACCAACAGCACAAAGGGAAAATACAATAACAGTATGAATAACTTCGGAGATTGGACCCTGGAAGAATTAAAGGACCATGAAAAAAGTCAGTTTTAAAATAATAACAGTAAAATTTGAAACTGGTTGGGAGAGTTTTTGAAGCATTTGAGGATGAGAAAACCATAGAGAAGAGACAGTTAGAGATTAGGGAAAGAAAGGAAGCAGAAAAATAAAGCTGACATTTGTTGCAAAGAGAAGGGTGCAAGTTGTTTGGTCCATAAGGAAATCCATTGAAACAATGGTAATTTTTTTTGCCAGGTGAAAGGTCAGGGAAGTGAATGGTCAGGGTCTCAGAAGAACTTCAATTCAGTTTTAACCTTCTTTTACTGCAGGAGTCTAGCTGTAAAGCTAATGCTTAGCTGTTCAGCCTTAAGTTGTAGTGCATTTTGGTGTATAGTATATCTGAAATTTTGGTTAATAGGCTTTTTACTGTGTACCTACGTGTAAAGCCACTTGCTTTGGAACAAGGCAGACTTAAAGGGGTGGCTCATTTTTTGGATGTGTAGGGCCGAGTGGTTGCTTGAGCTGTTTACTTTGATCTGTCATCTAAAGGCTGCGTCGTTCTTTCAGTAGCCACAGGTTTATTGCACTGAGCATTTCCCACATCCTTTGCAAAAGACATTATTTTTTCATAGCAACTTAGATTCTCCCTCACCTTCCTCTTTTTGAACACTTGAAATATTGTGCTTTAGTCTGTAAATGTAAGAATGCTTTAATGACATTAGGATTACCTCTCAAGATACCAAATGTGTTTTGTTTTTGCATCTTTCAGTAATTGCAACATTTTTCACTAGCTTTCATATTGGGTGGATTGACTTTGAGCTGAAAAAACCCTGTAGAAATACCATATGTACATTTAATATGTGCTGCTGTTCTTGGACTGTTAATGCAAATAGCATTATTTGCTATTACTCTTTAATTTGGTGGCTGCTGTTGATGTATGCTGCTTTGTATTTTAAGATATCTCAAACTTTTCAAATGTTTAATACTGTTATGTTCTGGGGCTTTTGTTCACTTTTGGGACCTAGTATTTTCTTTTGTCATTATGCTTCATTATTTTTAAAGATTACAAGAATGTCTTGGAACAACTAAATTGTAAGAGCTTTGGTCTCCTGTTCAGCTTGTAATGTTGATGACAGTTGCCAGCAGTTGGTGTTGCTGACAGCTTGTTGACAACCAGTATGTGAACATCTCAAAAATATTTGAGTCGAAGTTTTGCTCAAAATGCTGTTTGGAATCTTATTCCCTTGCAGCTGAAGTGTCAGTATGTTTCCTGCTTCCTATTTGAATGAAGATTCCTAAGACCAAAATTCTCCTAGTTCAGTAAATCTGTGTGAAGATCTTTGAGAGATAAATTGAATCTTTTAGGACCTTCCACACATTTGAGTGAAATGTTTTCTTTGATTTTTGCTAAGTTTAGAAACCATAAGGTACTTCTGCTTTTTCTTCTTTATCAAAGAGGAATATTAGCTTTGTTGAGTGCTGTTGACTTCAGCCCGTTTCCCTGCTTTTGCACTCTGTTGTATATTGGTGAAGGGCTTCTGCTGTGAAGCCAGCACACAAAAAGCCTGACCCTATTCATTGACCTGAGCAGGTTTTTTTATTGGACCCCAAAGTCTCAGTGCTGCAGGGGGAGTGCCTTGGTGTGAATAATCCTTCTGGGCATGTCCAGCTACTCTGGGTTGCTCGCCATCAGTGCAGTGCTGGGAATGTGCTGCCATGAACAGTGTGGGTCAAGGGGGCTGTCTGCATTATAGCTGATCTCCAAAGCCATGTGCTAGCTCATAGTTGTTTAAGCTGTTAAATTTGAGTCTTGTTTGTTTTAAATTGTTTTTCTAGTTTTTCTTATTTTTGACATTTTGTTGGTAATTTTTAGCCCACAGAAGCTGTTCCTTCCTCTTCTCCCATTGTCCCTGTGATCCCTGTCCCACCAGTCCCTGCTGAGACCATCCCATCCACCATACCACAGGTTTTTATGCTGTTTTGTTTTATTTTCTTAAACTTGTTCTATTTTTATTTCTTTAATTTATTTTGTTGCTTTGTTGAAATACGCCTTTTGCTACTCCACACTCAAGTTTGAGGTGAACTGTTAAATACAGTAGAATTTCACCATAACGTTTGTTCATTTTAAGGCAGCTTTTAGTACATTTAAATATTTATGTTTTCATATGGAAGTGACTAGTAAGTCGTGAAAGAAATAAAGAAAAAATAACCAAAAGAATGGGAAGAACCAATAGGATATTTTGTGTTCGCATAATAACTTTAGAGTAATTTCACCCTTGCTAAAGTGTTATTGCTTGATTTATTTATAAAGAAAATGCTTTCTCATCTCCTATAAATACTTAATACATTTTTCTTCCATTGCACTCACATGGTCTTTATCATGTTCTCCACCCATTTGTTGGTATTACTGTTTTGGTGGGCATTTAGAATACGAAAGAGGTATTTTTTACCTTTCCATTTGACTTATAAAGTCAAATATAAGTCATATATTTGATCTATAAAATCTGTTTCCCTTTTCAGACTTCATCCTTTAGGTCCCATAATGTCCACACACACCCCTAAAACAAAAACCAAACCCTGTCAAGACCGGTGAAGGCGGTAACATGGGTTAATGTTAGTGTTTCACATGTAATTTGGAATATGTGACCACAGCATGGCAAGCTATGGAACAATCCAGGATAGACAGCAGTAACATTTTTGCAAATAGATTGTCACTCTCCTTTTAGTTTTTTGTAACTTTGTAATCTGTCACCTGTAATTCTTCCAGCAGGAAGACCAGAAATTTGATTAGTTTTAGAAATACTCCCTTTTTATTGGGGGATTCTGCCCACATCAAGATTTGAGGTGGACAGGCCAGTGCAACCATGCCCACATAGTCCCTTTGGAATGCCTGGCCCAGCTTTTCTCATTCATCTTTGAAAAAGATGGTAAATTGCTGCTTCTTGATGGAGACTTTGGATAAATGTAGGAGTGTTAGGAACAATAATTTAACTTACAGAAAGGGTTTTGCATTCGTTGTCTGATTTGTATCTCAAACATACTGTTCACCAAACCTTGCCTACTAACAGCAATTTTGCTTTTAGTTGCCTTTTTTTTTAACACAAAAAGAAGAATGCTTGTCTGCCTCAGAAATAAAAATCATGGGCAATCAGCTTTCACTGGCCACTGCATAAACTGAATGTAATTGAATGTTGCAGAAATCCTAATACTAAATAAAAATACATTCCAAAATGGAGTGAAAAGAACATGACTGAGCAATTAAACCTTGCTTTCTTCTGAGCAAAAACATAAAACCATATGATTTAACTATATTTATTGCAACCTTAACAATTAATTATTGTGATGAATAATAGATTGAGTTTTTGAGTACAGGATATTATTTTTAATTTACTCTCATTTTAATAGAACCTGCACTTGAATAAGAAGCAGAAAAGGAAATTTAGCTTAATGGCAGAAAATGATTGTGAGGGATAGTGTTTTGACAGATTTTTATTGTGACATTAGTAACTAGTGCTTAATGCCTTTACTGCATGAAGTGTGCCTATGCTTCTATTGAGAGAATTGCTGGGTGAGAAAAGGTTTTGATGGCATTTTGACAGTCACATGTGTCATCCTTTTTGTTTCCTCTTACTTTTAATTGTCTGCTCTCTTAATGTGTGTAGGTCCTACCCGATTTTAGTACTTATTAAATGACACAGGCTTAATTTCTGACACTTGTTAGCAGACTGATGGCTCCTGTCTATGGTGGGAGATTATTCATCTCAGCCTTTTGAAAGCCACTTCTGATTCATCACTTCCTAGGTTTAGGAGCTTTTAAAAATCATAAATTCTTCAGAAGTATGTTGCTGTCATAGTAATGAAACAAAAATGCAGCATATGAATAGGTTAATGCAATTGTCATGTTTTGTAGGTCTTAACTTCATCTTTCCATGAGTTTAATACTGGCTCCTTTTACAGCCTATTAAACTACCCCTAAATTTATTTATATATGCCTAGGAGATTAAAAGAAGGAATGACTTAATTTTAAAAATAATGCATTTTTATGCGTATTAAAAATCCCCTTAGATTCATTACAACAATAAGGAGATTAACTTTGTTTAGTGCCACTGAACTTAGTAATTAGCAGTATTTGAAGTCTGGAATATATCTGGACACTGTTTCTTTTGCTTATGTTCCTAGAGCAGGCTAGATGCTGCCTATTTTAAAGGCAGATAGTTGATGGATAAATGGGAAATCTGTTTATTTGGAAACATTTCAGAGAAGTGCCATCAGTTCCTATGGATTTTCTTTCAGTTGAAACCACATTTTTCACAGAGAAATTCTCAGTGGTAAGGGCCTCAAAGTATAAGCTGAAAGTGTAAACTTACTCTAATGGTTCCTGGCTTGTAAGAATTCTAATATTATTTCAGCTTTCTGTGGCAATAATCTCTGACTGCTTCTGGCTTGTTAATCCTTAACAATTTTCTGATGGAATCGCGTGTTGCTGTGTGGTAAATGAATGTCTGCTGTGGGTTTGCTTTTGCAAGTCAGTTTTGTAGGTCCTTTCTTGCTTAAGTTGCACTTCTGCAGGTTTCTATTTTGCAGTTTGTGGAGGGGGTAATTCACGATTCCTGATGGGAACAAAGGAAAATCAAATCCACCAAAAATTGGTTTTGAGATATTGAGTGATAAAACAACCTCTGCATATCATACCACAAGTACTGGGGTAACTGGCATCATGTCAAATGGTAGCATGACTCAGGTTTTCTTTTGAAAAACAAGGTAATAAATGTCAGAACTTAGATATTAAATATGATCTCAGACTGTCCTAACGGTGTGGTTTTATGTCAGGGAAGCAATTTGTCCAGGATAGTAACAAGTGTTTTAGAAGGTCAGTTTTGAGATTCTCAAAGTCAAGGCTACCTTTTAACAGAACTTGGAGAAAGCCAGTAAGTTAAATGCTGTAAAATTATCATTAATAGCGCATTTTCTTATGCTGTAATTTTTTTTTCATTTTTAAAGGCAAATCCCCCTCCAGTGCTGGTGAATACAGATTCTTTGGAGACTTCAACATATGTAAGTCTACACTTGCTTTCAATTATAAATTTTAAATCATGTTTTATGAATGTAGTTGTGTACGCCTGTTGCTGCTGTTTAAGGAGACCTATTTTTTCTCTCTCATGCTGCTTGGTTTTGTCAGTTCTCATGATGGTTATTTCAACTTCTTAAATAGCCATTTCATGAAAAAAAAATGTTGCAGATTGCAGGTGGGAATTTTTGTGTACCAATATGTGACGGTGCAAAACACAATTGAGGTTCAGTGTTCAGAGAACAATCTGTTTCTTCAACTGTGCAGGCAGATGCTTTAATATTTCATGTGCCATTTCTGTTGCACTTCTCATAAAAAACATTTCTTCATGCAGTGGCTATACTTCAGGTTTTAGTGCTCTAAATGTTCATAAAAAGGAGTTGGTTCTGTTTGAAACATTAAGGTAATAAGTGTAGTTATGTGGAGGCTGCGATTTTCATTTATAATTGCAGGATTTATATAGAAAGTCCTTCATCCAGGGGAAGGCACTGTAAATAAAGCTTAGCTTAGTGAGTCTGAGATACCTTTAAAATTTGGAAAAGAGAGACTAGGTCAGTGATTTTTATCATGTAATACATCCTTGCTCCTGTCTCTGCTAACGTTTGGTTTGTTAGATGAATAAATTCACAGGTAATTTTTCAAAACAAGAGAGTATAGGACTGAACAAAAGAAGAAGATAAAAATGATTGTTTATGTAGAAGATATTTTAAATTGAATTACCGAGCTTTGTACATAGAAATAAGAGACTGCTTAAATATATTAGGATTGGCTTTGTTTTGTGTAATGGCAATGAAAAGGGAAATGATTAATCATCCTTGTTATTTATTTAATAAAAAAGAATAGAAAAGAGTGCTGCACACTGATCAATCATCATGAACCTTTTGCAGGTACTGTAACACTGGATGACTGCTTCAGTTAGCACATGTTGTCATTCCTGTAGATAATAGCTCAAGGACCAAGCTGCCATAAAAACGTCTTGATCACAGTGGCTTCTTTTGTGTTGGTGCAGCAATAGATTCAGTTTCATGTATTCAGAAGGTCAGGACCTCGTCCCTTTTTAATAGAGAAATATCATGTGTTAAAACCACCAACAAACTACTCAGGACATAATCATTTTTGAGGTACTTTGCAAAGATGATGATCTGTCATGTGTGGAATGGATATGGCTTCCATTGTATTAGGGGAGATATAACTAGAGAGTGAGGGATAAAAGAGCTTGATATTAGACAGCCTGTAAAAGTCATGGCATTACCAGCTTTTGGAGTATTTAAATATGTTAAATAAACATAGGAGGAAGGAAGTAGCTTGATCTTAATTTTATTTGGGGTGAATTTAATTCCCTTTTAAAATTCTCTGCTAGAAAATGGTCGGATTTTAAAATGCTTTCTTCTATACATCTTTTTTATCTTTAGTGTATTAAGACTACAGAAATCTTAGATATTCTGTATCTTAAGAATAGACAAGGTCCTTTGTAAAATAATAGTATAAATGTTGTTTCTTACCTTGTTAAATAATTCATCCTAAAAGGCTGAAATAGGGAGCTGTCTATAGCTGCTGTAGGTAACTGTGGAGGAAAGAATTTGACTTCCAAGATATCTTGTAAAAAAGCTTACTCTTGAATATTAAATATTAATGAGATTTTTTTTTAATTGATTTTGCTTAGTTTTGATATTTTTTTTGCTTCTGGTATTTGCTTCTTTTCTTGTTCTGTAAGCAGCAAAGAATGTGCGTATTCTTTCTAACCAGAGGATGACAAGGCTGCTTTCTAGGATTTCAGTTTTTTGTCAAGCTTTATAAAGTATTCTTCTAAACTCTTCTTCTCTTTTTGTCCCTATTTTAAATTGCTGAACTTTAGTATGTATGAAACATGTTTGATAGTAGTATAAACAGTTGTTAAATGTTACTTTAGAAGGGTCTGACCTATTTCTCATGAGAAGGTGATATAAAGCATCAGTCTTTCTCTTTTTTTTTTTTTTTTTTCTCTGCTCAGTGTGGAAAAGCAATAGGAGAATGCTGCTCTGTTCTTCCTTACAGTTCTTCTCTACCCTACATCCTCTTTCTTTTTTCTCAGTTTCAAGTTGCTGTATAGCCTGAGGAACACCTGAGGATCTCAAGAACATTTTTTCTTTCTGGCAAGCAGAAGCTGAGAGCCTGTGCCCTACAGTAGTTATGTAGAACAGTCTGCTCTCTGAAGAGGCAACTTTTAAACTTGTACAAAAAGGTTGTCTGATTCATAAATACAGAGAGGTGTGAAAATCACATGTCCCCTCTGAGCCCAGTGGTCACTGTCAGTCAGCTGAGATTTGTTGGGAATGAACTGCCAGCCAGGCAAACTGAGTTGTGTAAAGTGTAGGATTCTCTGAAATCTCACTTCTCTTTTTTTTTTATAGGTCAATGGCACGGATGCAGATTATGAGTATGAAGAAATTACTCTTGAAAGGGTAACATGCTGAATGTCCTCTGTACTCTGTTTGAAATGGGATTTGTAATACTTTAATATGAAAAGTAGCAATTCAAACCAATTCTTACTCTTTTTATATTTTAGATAGATTATTTGACCTAATGAAAAAAAAGTACATTCAGTTGCTAAGCAGGAATTGAAAGTTTTATTAATATCCTTGACCACTGAGAGTAAGATAGGGGAATGACCTCCTGTAAGACATCCTGCATTTAATATTGCTACCTAGACTTGTAGAAACTAACAACACAGATTCGGATTTAATCTCCTATATTGCTTTTTTTAATAGGCTTTTACTTATATACCAGTGACACCTTGGCTCATGCATTTCTTTTTTAGGTTTTCTACACTGAGATCTAGCACAGTTCACTTGAGGTGCTCTGTTAACAAAAGACAGAAAGAAATTATTGTATCTAATACCTGTGCAGTTCTGGTGGTTACTGAGAGGGTGAAGAGGTCTTGCAGTTGATAGTAAGGGCAAGCAATCCTTGAAGAGAAAAATGTCAGTCTGAATCTCTGCATCTGTGGGAATATATTAGACGTGGGACACAAGCTATTTAAAGGCTTTTCTCTGGGAAAAATAATGTGTCACTAATAATTTAATGAGGAGAAAATATTTGTATGAATAATTTGAAAAATCTGGCACATTAGAGATAGAAGATTTTATGTATTTTATCAAGTTCAATGAGAAAGCTTGGGCTAGAACTGTCTCTTACAGTTACACAATGACTTTTTACTTATCTTCATAGAAGTAAGTTATGTATGTAGCATGCTACTTAAACTGTCTTTAAATTTTTTGTTGTCAGTGAAAATGATGTAGATTTGGTTCTATATTGTATCAAATACACCAGAATACCTTGTCCCCAAAATACAAATGTGTAAATTTTTTTTCTCCTCTATCTGTAGGGAAATTCAGGACTTGGCTTTAGCATTGCAGGTGGTACAGACAACCCACATATTGGGGATGATGCAAGTATTTTCATTACGAAAATTATCGCTGGGGGTGCAGCTGCACAGGATGGAAGATTACGGTAGGATGAATTTCTGTGTTGGGTTTCTGGGTCCTGTTACTGTATTTTGAAAAGTGGATAGAAAATTTTCTGTTACTTTTAATAGTTTTGTCCTCCTGCATTAAATGCTAAATAGGTTTTCCTTACAGAAGTGTTTTGTAAATAATGAAGAATGTTTGAGTGAATCAATATATGTCTCCCAAACTAATAATATCTGCAGTTTAGGAAAATTAAGTGAACCTTTTCTATTCTGTGGTACAAATTTATTATGCTATATGTTTCATAGTCCTTAATTCAAGAAAAAGCTTAGACAGGTAGGATAGGTAACTCGTGGTTATCCATGTGTGCATTTTCAACAAGGTAGTTGAGTTTATTAAAAACACTTTTTTATGCTTGGTAATAATTCATCATCTTAATTTTTCAAAGATACCCATCCACACTGACTGTAGGACTATTTTTTTTTCTCTTTGTGTTACCAAGAACTTGCCCCATCATTTCATGTGCAAATACCTGATGTATTATGGGTTTTAGTCCTAATGAGCTTATTTCAAGGCTTCATTTTAGCTTGTTGGCCATTGTCAGAGGTACATCTGGCAGGACGTAGTGACAGGTGGGCCTGGCATTGCACTTAGTGTAATGAGGGCTCAGTGTTACTGCAGCATCATGTTAAATGGAGTGGAAGGCCAGCACTTAAACTGCTTGTGGAAAAGCAAGATTGACTTGTTCATATCATGGCTTAAAACTAGTGTGTTTTCATTGTGTGCCTTCTAGGTTTTGATTTTTTAAATTCTGCTTTGTTAACTGTAAACAAAAGGTTATTTTTACAAACATTTGTTAAAACACTGTCAAAATGAGCCATATATAATAAGGTGCCCTCTTCGGCTGTGAATTGAATGTTTCTCTTTAATGTTTTGTAGTGATCCTTGATTTATTTTTAAGTACTAATAATTAATTTTAGAGCAATGTCTTGAATGAGTATAATTTTGGAGCTAAATCTCTCTATTTTCAAGTGTTGACATGTATTTTAGTGTATTATAGATAAAACATGAGGCTCCTGATGTGTGCACTCTGCTGTAACACAACAGCTGAGCATGACTGTTGCTGTCTCCAGGGTTAACGATTGTATCCTACGAGTAAATGAGGTGGATGTTCGGGATGTGACACACAGCAAAGCAGTGGAAGCATTGAAAGAAGCAGGATCAATTGTACGATTGTATGTCAAAAGAAGAAAACCAGTCACGGAAAAAATAGTGGAAATCAAACTTGTGAAAGGCCCCAAAGGTACGTTGGAAATAGAAAGTTTCTGTTTTGTAAGGATAGAATTGAAACTGTTCTTGTAGAATGTAGAGTATTCTTTTAAATGATAAAAATGTTTCTGATTGTATTTAGTAATTTTTAAGTACATTAAAATTGGAGGAAAATACTTAATTGGATTACCTAGTAAGGATGTTTGTGAGACTAAAAATAATTTAGGGAAAGTAATTACTGGGCAGTATGTCTATAAATATATAGATGCTATAGCAAAGTGATGCTTATAGCTCTGCTGTACCCATACTTCACAAAGCATGAAGTAAATAATGTAGCTTTTGGTTTTCAGAACTTGTCTATGTACATCTTTTCTAGAGCTTTATTTTCTAGAAAATTATGGAGTTCACTTGAAAAGGCATCAGAATTACTTTAGCCAGACCCTGATATTATATATGTTTGTGTCATGCAAGGAGTGTTATTATTTATATAAGAATTTAAATCCAATGAATGCAAAAAGGGTTTCTTGAGTAATGCCTTTATCTTCAAGCAGGTCTTGGTTTCAGTATTGCTGGTGGTGTAGGAAATCAGCATATACCTGGGGACAACAGCATTTATGTAACCAAAATCATCGAAGGTGGGGCAGCACATAAAGATGGCAAACTTCAGATTGGAGACAAACTTTTAGCTGTAAGTAAGAGCTGCATTTTTTAAATGGTCATTCACTTTTAGGCTCAATAGGGGCATGATTCAATTTGTGGTTAAGCTGCCTGGAAATGAGTGATAAAATTAAATCTGCATCATTCAACACCATCTCATCAGGAAATCTGAAATCTGTTCCTCATCCCAATGTTCCATGCAAAACCTGTATAAATCAGCATGTTTATTTCTGATGCCTGCTATTATTTTTCTGAGTTCTGAGTGACAGAATTGTAAAAAAACATACAATGGGATTGTTTCTCTTCTCAAAAAAAAAGAATGGAATGGAACTCCTTGTACTGGTGGCTGGCCAGCCTTTAGCCAGCCTGTACTGAAACTGCTGCTTATATTGCATTTCAGTGTTTGTAACGTTTCTGAATGGCATTCTTATTTTTTTTAAAGCTTAAAATAGGCTTCAGAGTTGAAGCTATTTTCTGTCTTCTTTGCACAAAGTAAAAATAACTTTCAACTTCCTTAAATTCAATCCACAATTTTTTTGCCCAGATAGAAAAATGAGAGCCACAGCCAGAAATTTCTGAATGTATTTCTGAATTGTTAACTCTTGTAAGGTTAATTGCTCTACACTCCTTCTTCTACCAGTATTAGCTTCTGTAAGAGATTTGCATCTGTATTCTTAAAGAATATATGTAAGGAATAGAGTTTTCCCCCCACAACTAACAATTGGCAAAGCCCAGTTTTTCTTACAAATTACGAAGTTAAATGATGAAAGTGTCTTTAGCCCCTTGGGTTCAGTGCAGTACAAGCTTTATTTCTTGTGTTGCCTGGAATTATCTGCAGAAGTTTCTTCTCTTTCACAATAAGAGAGGGTCAGCAACTCAATTCATTAAGGCACATTCACTAAGTAATTGTTAAGGGATTTTTTAAAATCGAAGTTGTAGTGTTTCACTCTAATAGCAATAGCTTAAAATAGTTGTTGTTTATAGTTGAACTAGTTCTTGTTACTTGGCATGTAAATCAGTTATTCTGGGACCTTCTCAAGTTTTGACCTGTGCTTTTTGACATCATGCCAGAATATATTGGCCCATTATAGTGTCTAGAATATAATTATGCCATGACAAGTTGATGTGGGGTTTATTCTTATTAGAGGAAACTTTTCTCTATGTAATGCTTGCAGTAACACACTGTGTAAACCTGTACACTTAGAACATTCTGAGTGTCTGAGCTTTAGCTCCCCAAAGTCATGTGTGCCTTCTTTACAATGTTGTGGTCAGTAGAGTTTATTATAATCTTTCATAGGAATGCTTGTCTTTCTCATACTTAACAAAGCATCTCATATAATTTTATGTAACCAGTTATGTCTGTGGCATATGAATCCTAATAAAGACTCTCAATGCCAGTGTTCCAACAGCCTTCAGTGAGCATCCCATGAAAAGAGTATATATTCTGGGTTAAGAGTGTTGGTTTTTCTCTTCAGGTCAACAGTGTTTGCTTAGAAGAAGTTACTCATGAAGAAGCAGTGACTGCCTTAAAAAACACATCTGACTTTGTATATCTGAAGGTTGCAAAACCCACCAGCATGTTTATGAATGACAGTTATGCCCCTCCTGACATCACAAACTGTAAGTTAATCTTATCTTTCTGATTTAATTAATTTTCTCTTTAAGGCTTTAACATATTTCATTTTAGTATTTTAAGTATTGCAAGCTTTTAAAAATTATGAGGCAAAAATCTGATATAAGTTGGCTATTGAGGAAAATTATATACTATACACAACAACATCCTATAGCTTGTGTACTGAAAAGACAGCAGCAGCAGGGTCCAGGTATGCTTTTGTGGCTGTCATGGCCCAGCCCTAGAGACTCAGTGTTACTCATCACTTGCTGATGAGTGCAAGGGGAGAGAGCAAGTGCCTCATGCTCTTGGGGGTGTGAAGAGTAGAAAGCAATGCACTGGGAGGGCGTTCAGTGAACTAAAGAGGTTGGTGATACTCTGATGTTTTTCATGAACTTACACGGACTTGAATAAACTGAACTGGGAGGATGGGAAGTTGTTGTTCAGGTGCCTGCCCGTGAATGTGTTAAAAAAATCCGTGTTAACTTATTTGAAGTCTGACTTCACTTGTAACATAATTATTGACAATTTGAATCAAAACCCAGTGAACACTATATCATAAAGTAGTTACAAGAATTTCTTGTTGACATAAAGGTACTACTGACAAGAATATTTTCAAAGTCAAACATATAAATCCAGAAAGTTCAGGGTTGAACTACAATGTAGAGAAATATTTGAATTGAGTATACTTCAAGAGGGTTATTATCATTTGGTAGTGGGAGAAAAGGAAGATAATGATATAACTATATTTCCAAGGCTGAATAGACTGACTTTTCTGGATGACTAGTTTTACTCATGTTGTCACATGAAATGGTTCTAGGGGAAGAGTTATTTTATGTATTGCTTTGTTTCCTGCCATTACATCTGTGCAACTGATATGTAGCACTGATCTGTTTAGGTACTACTTCGTATGAGAAAAAGGAGCACTTTGGGACTGACAGATGTAACTGAAAACATTATGTGAACAGCAAACAAAAGTGCAGCACAACAAATGAAGTACCTTATAAGCCCATCGTTTATTGGCAATAGCTACAGTATCTTAAAATCTATTTGTAAGCTTATTGAATTACAATTTGGAGCTAATTAGGTTTTATCTCCATTGTATTATTAGAAGGATGCTCTTGAAGGCTCCATTCTTTGACATATCTAATTTTCGGCCTCCACTGATTCTTCCCCAGTTTTCTATTCATATATATTATGGTTAGAGAGCAGCCATTTTCCCTTGCTGTATCTAGTTTGTTCAATTTTCCCACTGTTTCCTTGGAAAGTAGATTTCCTGTTCTCTCTCTCCATATAATTAGTCTTTTCATATATTTCACCTGGAATTCATATTTTTTGGAACAGATTTTTACAGTGTTCCTAGTAATGTTGCAGTAATGCAGTTACAATACTGTGGACTGGGATGTGACAAACATTGAAGTATATAATCTCTTATTACTGCACCTTAACTCAATCATTGGAATATTTACTTTGTTACTCTTTTGTGGGGACAAAGGCAAATCCTGTAGAAAGTTTGAGGGGAGGAAGGTAGAGAAGGAGCTGATTCCTGGTAATTTGCTCAGTGCTAATAAATCAATGACAGTGGCAAAGGTGCCTGTTGGTTGTTGGACCTCTTGTCATGATCATGTCAGAGATATTAATTTCTCTCACTCAAATGGTGCATGAACTGGAGACTCAATTCGTTGCAGATAATTGCATCATAACATGGAGCCATAAGAGACACAGTGACATCTTCAAGAACACTTTCTCATCATGTCCATTGGCTGGACAGATCAAGAAAGTTCTGTCAAGGGTAATCCCACATAACTGCCATGAATCATTAATTTCTCAGTCAGTATGACTTAATGCCACATCCATTACTGGAGATAAATGGCCTGGTCACACGTGTAGGCTCCTTTTGTCCCATTACCACCCTTTCTCCAGAGTTTCTTTGTTTGCTCTCCCTCTAAGGGTGATTTGAGAGATGGTGGCATTCTGTGCAGCCCAGTGTCCCATCCTTTGTGGGAAGTGTCACTTCTATCCTTTTACTGAGAAGTGAAAAGCCCCTCTCCTGACTTTGTCATGTACTTCAAGCTCCAGCAGCTGCTTCTGGGAACCTTTCTCCTCCCACTCAAGCATTCTGAGAAAAGTCATGGAAGTTTTTCTCAGATTCCAGGCATCTTGTCTATCTTTGTCCTTTAGAGACCCTTGTCAAGATTTGGGAGCTGTCTGTACTTTTAAGTAGATTTTCTGAGTTTTATTTCCTTTAGCTACAGTTCCCTTGAGTTGTCTATCTGAAGATACTCTGTTTTTTACTGTTTCTCACAGACCAAAGAACATTCCTCTGCAAAATGCTGGGTACTTTGATGAAACTTTAGTCTGTTTCTTTTCCTTACAACAGGAAAACCTTTTCTACCCAAAGCTCCATGAGCTTGTGTCTCTTTTGATCAAAGTACAGCTGCCTGTTACTGCAGCTGGTGTGGAGACTGAACCTGTTGCTGGAATTTTGAACCCAAAGCAGACCTAAAGGTCTTGCTGAAGTGTTTAATGACTTAATTCCAGGAAATCAGTTTAGTCTTTTCCTCAGTCTTTCACTTATGAAAAACAACTGTGTGTGTGTCTGAGCTGCTAAACGCTATTTTTCTAATACAGAACAGAGGAAAAGCTTTTCCAGTACCTCTCAGAATTTGCACATTTACAGTGGAAATCTCAGAAGGACACATCAGTCTCCTCAAAGGCTAATTCTGCTTTATAAATAATATGATAAATTTGCAATTAGAAAGCCTCTGCTTTCTGCAAGAAGCTGCTCAGTTAGATAGAACTCTTACCAAAAAATGGTGGCACCTATTTATAGTATTTTATACTGCATTTAGCAGAGCAGTACAGGGCTCAAGAGCTTTAGATTGGGAATTCTGAAGTGCTTTTACCAGGTGGCAGATATTAAAGAGGTATTTTCTAGGATCACCTGGATTGTGAGTCAGTGTTGAAACTACCAGGTTTCTTTCTTCACCTACTCATCTGCAGCTGTTTTGAGGCATGTATTTGCAATCTTCCTTCGTGTTTTTGTCCATGAGAATCCTTTCAGCCGGGTTCTTAGGAGTTCAGTCCTACCTTAAAGGAGAAGTAAGATGTGCACAGAGGCTCCCTGTGAGCATGTCTATTACAAATAGTAGAAACTCTGCTACTTGAGTTTATATGTGAACTGCTCACTTACAGAAACTCCTTGGGAGGGTTTTTTGTTTGCTTATTTTATTTCTGGGTTTGTTTTTTTTTTCTTTTTTTAAAAGTTTCATTTCATCAGAAATATCTAAAAGCACAGTGAGCAGTACTTGGTACTTTGCAGAACATGCAGTAGATTGTTCACTGTGCTAACTTGTGTTGACATGGTAGTTAATTCAGAAGTCCAAATTCAGAACTTGCTTTGTCTCTAAGCTTTTCCCTCTGGAACTGGTCTTGTTTAGTTATAGGGCTGCCTCACTTGCCCTGGTGATGAGGATTTAAAATGCAGAGCTAAGGATCTCCTATAGTAAGAGTATCAGCTACACAATAGTGTGGCCTTGTCAGGTGATCTGATGGCTCAAATGAAAGGACCAAATAAGTTAGTATCCATATAGATAATTAAATCATTTGATATTTCCTTATGTTAGTGCCTTAGAATCAAGGGATGTTTGATCAAGATGTTTCTGAGATTCTGATTTATGGCACTATTTATTGGGAAGAGTGCAGGTGTTGTGCCAACATTGTGCACCCGAGGCTGAAAATTGACCTCTGTTGTTTGATATTTATCAGAGTGAGTGAATGGCTTCCAGCTGCCTGTGGGGGAAGTTACTGTTGAAAATCTCGTTACAGAAGAGTTGGGGCTGTTTGAGACTAGAGATTCATCAGGGAATGAATGTGGAAAAAAAAAGCATATGGTTGTGTGCTGTTGCTTTAGAGACTGGGATGTGAATGGGTGATAAAAGCTTGGCCATAGACCTGGAACAGCTGATTGCTCTGCCTGTTTCTATTGCTTCTGTGAGATTTATGTTTTAGTTCTTGAGGTGTGGATTGCCAGGCTAAACAGTTACTTGACAGTGCTCTGTATTTTCTGAATCAAGAAGAATGCAATTAAGAAAGATTATTCTTTCTGAGCACATTGCCCTCTGAGTGCTGTTCTCCACTCTCTGTCAGGCTGAAATATGAGAACTTCCAGTATATAAAATATGGAAATGCAACAGAAGTCCCCTCCCCATGTTGATGGTGTGCAGAGGACAGCACTGTGGGTGGGGTGGTCCTGTGGAGCATTGGGCTCAGCTGATGTGTGTGTGATAATCACAGCTGTTAGCCTGCTGAGGGGTCATGGAGCAGTAGGAGTGTAAACTGCCTCCCTCATCTATACATGAATGGTGGTCATTAAATGGTTCCTGGAACAAATATCCAGTAATTTGTTCATATAAATGCTTTTAAAGTTTAGTTGAAATATTACTAAGGAGGTGTAGTACTTGCTGTTTAAACAACAACATTACTTGTGCAGTGCGTGTAGTAGAATATCAGAGTCAGAAAGGTGGCTAAATGGTTTTTGAGAGAGAGAACTTGTTTCCAATACAGACCTTCTTTGAAGATGCAACAATGATGTATTTTTGACTCCTAATTAATTTCAAAGTATTTTTTCCTTTGTGTTTTTGTGCATTGGTACAGTATTTCCACCCTGCATTGAGAAATAAAATACTGGAAGGTAGGGAATGATCAGTTTCTTCATTAGACATGAATGCTTTATCATTTCTTAAATGGCCTAAGTACAGGAAGAAAAGAATATGTAATAACAGTAAAAGACAATAAAGTTTTAATTTTATTGCCCATTTTAGAGATTATACAGATAATAGGAAAATAATAGGAAATCTTCCATTTTTTCTTTATATCTAGAACTGTCTTAGGTAAAGGAGAGAATGGATTTGGAAAAGGAATTTCTTCTTAAGTGTTTGACTTTTCCTATCAAAGCAAGTTGATTTTATGCATGCAGTTTTCTATTCATCCAAAAGACAGTTCCTTTATCAGTTCCATCAGTAATAATATTTCCTGGAAATAGAAGTTTGGATTAAGATTCAAAAAGTGATGGGTTGCCTTTTATTTCTGTCATGTTCCTCGTGAATATGCTTCAGCTATAATTTCCATCTGAAACAGTTTCAGGACAGGTGCAGGCACGGTTTTGTGCAGGAGCTCCACAGAGCAGCCTCTTTGTGCCTTGTATAGGTTTGTCTTCATAGCACTGAGCACACCAGCCTTGAGAAAGGATCAGACTGTTTCAAGCAAGTAGCATATGTAAAACGTTATAAAGGATGCAGCCAGTGCTGGTGTGGAACCATCCACAGGTCTGAAATAATAAACTGCTATATTGATGGATAGGTGACTTTTAGTCACATGGTGAAAGGATAAAAAAATGTAAAAAATAAGGTTATGTGATAGATTGTGTGTATGTTTCTCAACACAGTGCAGTTAAAAGCTTCAGGAACCCAAAAAACAATCAAATGAGAAGTACTGTAAGTCAATGAATATAGAATTTGCATCTAATTACTTCCTTTAAAATATGCATCATTATGGCTACCATTGACTTGTTAAAAACAATTTCAAATTCATTTTGAGGAGTGAGATAATTTAGTGCAGGAACAGAATGTACAGAGCTGCTATACTGTGCAACAGTTGTTCAGGTTTTTTAATCAACACTCATTTTCCTGCAGTTGGAAAATAGCTCATAATGTCTTTCATTTTATTTTTTTGTGCTTTAGCTTTACAATTTTCTGAGAAAAAAAACTGTATTTATGTGTGGTTTTGTTTCAAGCAAAAAGTGTACAATGACATGGTAATAATAATGTTGTGTTAAAAACCATTTTCCTTTAAGTGAAAAGCAAATACTGCGATATGGTTTTGTAATCATTGTGGAAATCTGCTAAATTGCTAAATTTATCTGCTTAATCGCTAAAATTCCAGTGTGTTTAAAAATGCCCCAAGATTTGAAGTTGACAGTTAGGTGTCCAAATCTCTTACCAGTGCACAGAACCTATGCATTGTACTGGAAGGAAGGAAGTGGGATCTATAGAATCCTTGCAGGGAGTACAAGGATGAAGATGCAATGTGTGTTACTGCTGTTACAAAAAACTGTATTAGGAATTTTGTATGTTGAACAGCTCCTAATTTTTAGGGAATTCTCTAAGGTGAATGCTTATGTAGATCACTTGGTTTTAGCATAAGCAGCATTCTCTTTGCTTTAGACCTCATGAAGCCAATCAACGTGAGGGAGCTTCCTTCTGTCTTTGTTATCAGTTCTGAATTTTGCTGAAACCTCTTGTGTATCCAGAATTATGATTTCCAGAAGTTCTGCACAGTCTCATAGAGCTAACTGAGGGCTGATGTGTCTGAATAGCACAATTCATTTATCAGCCAGTGCTTCTAAATTGCTGAAGCTGTTAATAGTGGATTTTAGTGCCTGCTGAGATGTTGATATGTTGACCTGATGCATGTGCCATGTGAAGAATTTACTGCACACGGGTCTACTAGGAATCTAGAACAATATAGGCACAATTCAGCCCAGATTGAGTGGTTTGAAAGATGGCTATTTAGCAAATATATCGTGTATATGTATCAAGAATACTCTTGATAAGTTTGTATGTGATCCAAACTTTTTGAAAATGGTTTAAACAAGAAAATAGGAGAATATGCAGATTGCTTCAGCAATCTGTGTCATGTATGTTCAGTTAAAGAGCTTTGGGTTTAGTATAAATTCTCATAGGTCAATTACTCCATCAGATACAGCAAGTAAGGGCAAAGAGTCTGGCGACTTTAATAATACTGAATCTGTGAAGAGTCCCCACCCTTCGTGTTTAAGCCTCAAAGTCTGAAGCACATATTCCAGGAAAAAACCTTTCCAGTTGTAGAAGATGCTTTGTAATAGCAAGCAGTGGTATGACTGTGCCTTAATAAGCACTGAAAATTGATGTGCCTAACTTGGAAATACCATGCACCTTCTTAATTATTTATTGGAACAATTCTCCTGGTGTTGCAGAATATTTTCCATCAATTGTATTCACTAAGATGCTAAATTTCTTCTGGTATATGTATTGTGGTTCAGTTAAAACTTTGCATCAGTCAAGTTAAAAATAGCTTTAAAATAGATAAATCTCCAGACTGTTCCCATGGGCTTCAATGATCCACAGTAGCTGTTCTTAAAAAAGTTTTATTTGAGACACAATGAAACTGAAAAAGTTGCTTACTGACTTAGTGAGGAGACTGGGGAATATACAGGTTCAACACTCTATTTTAGAACTATGATATTTATAATATATAATTTAAAATGCTACAGTTTCTTTTTAAAAGAGGTCACTCATTTTTTTTTTTCAGTTCCTCCATCTCTTTTTTGGTATTATCCTAATGTCTTTTATTGTCTTCTTTCCCCCTGTCTGAAGCTTATTCTCAGCCAGTGGATAACCATATCAGTCCATCTGCCTACCTGGGACAGTCCCTGCCCCCAGCATCACCAGGGCGATATTCACCAGTTCCCAAGGGAATGCTTGGAGATGATGAGATTACCAGGTAATGAAGAACCAAAGCTGAGTGTCAAATTGAAAAACCAGGGGAGCTCCACGATGTGTTAGTGGGCAAAATACTAGTGAAAGCTATATTTTATTTCAAGAAATAGATGTTAGTTTTTTAACTCTTGTACCATGGTTGTAAGGATAAAACTAGGTATATTTATATGTTTATATATATACATAGACACACTTTATTTATCAGTCCAAGAACAGCATCAAAAACAGAAAGCCCTGGAAATGCTGCATGCAATGACAGATTTTTAGGATGGTAGTATGAGCAGACCAGAGATTTTCTTATTTTAAAGCAAGCATGTTTGGGTCTTCCCTGCCCCCACAGACAAGAATTTCTTATGATGGGTTCTAAATCCAGAAAGGCTGGAGAGCTCTTAATCCTTTTGCATTAACAGAGCGTTCATTCCTTCACTGTTTCAGTAGATTGCATTAATCTTTTGTTCATCATTGCTGATAAAGGGAAGCTCTTGTAATTTTGTTGCCCTTCTGTTCTGCAAGTATAGGGATGTTATACTGCACTTTCAGTATGCTGTTGCTGAATTCTGTGTCACACCATCATCTGATATGGATAATGTCACTCAGATTCCGAGGCAGGGTCCACCAGGATTGAAACCTAAGTGGCATAATAAATTGGAGAATTGATTTTAGTATAGTGGAAGGTAGGATATGTCTTTGTACTGATTTTTAACTTAGGGTTAGGTAGACATATAAGCAAAAATTATTCTCTCCTGTTGATATCATTGTGGTTTTATTGCTTTCCCTTAAAATTACTGTAAAAGACTGTTTTTAGATTTTTTCTGAAATGCAAGGGCTATTGAGAAATTGTTTAGGTTTTCTTTAAATTACCTTCTCATATTACACTCTATCTCAAAAAGAGATTTATAAATTTTGAGAGTTATTTTAAAAGATGCTGCATCTTGCTATTCTGTCTTCTTTTATGTTTTTGTTAATGTGTTGGTATGATCCAGAGCAATATGCACAGAGATTTTCATAATGTAATTTGTTTGTAATAGAATAGTACTCTGAAAAAATGAATATAATATTTGATGGAGGTGAAATTTAAGAATTTGACCTTAAGATGATTTAATAGCTAGTGCAAAAATTGAGTGATTTTTAAAGATTGGACTATATAATACTTTTTGTTTTGGAGAATAAAACAGTTTCTTACTTTATCCTGTAAATTAATAATTAATGCTGCCAAATACCTAATGTCCATTAATTGTTCTTTAGTGCTCTCTAGTGATTTTTGAAATGCAGCGCACAGTTTCTTTGTTTTATTAGAAATGTCTTTTTCTGAGGTCATTTGTGCTTTACTTGTATTAAATTGAGTAGCAGATAATAGATTTTTGGAAGGAGTCTTTCTGCATTAGAATTTGATTTGCCTTATCAATATTTCTTCTTTCCTCCACGCATTCAAGTCAGGAGGGGATCCTAAAAAAAGAGTGCAACAACTTGGTTTAGTTTAACTTCTTCAATTGCAGTCGCTTTGCTGAAATTGAAAATGTATTTGAGAATGTCACAACCTACACTGGTGTTCTTGAGCAATATGGAAAAATATTAAGTAATGACATTTACTGCTGAATAGGATTATAGCATAATAGGAATTTATTGATTTATACAGATTTGTTCAGTTCACCTAACAACAGGGAGGGGATTTTGTTTTGCATCTAGAAGCTTTTCTAATTGTTTATTTTACTTTTACTCATCTAGTGACCAAGATTTCATATTCCTTTCTTTTCCTTCAGGGAGCCTAGAAAGGTTGTCCTACATCGAGGATCAACAGGTCTTGGTTTCAACATTGTTGGTGGAGAAGATGGAGAAGGAATTTTCATCTCTTTCATCCTTGCAGGAGGGCCAGCTGACCTGAGTGGAGAGCTTAGGAAAGGAGATCGTATAATTTCTGTAGGATTCTTTGTTTCTTTTATTTAAACAGCAACAAAAGTTTCCCCATCCCTGCATATTAATACTGATTATTGATAAACAAAAAGTGTTATTAACTGAGCTAAATTTGAGTTAATGGAACAGATGCCAATATACTTCCAAACTATCTTTGAGAACTTGAATCTGCCTCAGTTTCCCATCTATAACCTGATTAAAATAGCACTTCCCTCTCTGTGACATTCAGTGAAGACATTAACTTACCTTAGTCTCAAGCTGAGGGCTGTATGTGTCTAAACTGAAAGAATACAGGTTTCAGAAATAGCCCTTCTAATGAGATGGAGACACTTGGCAGCAGTGTCTAAAGCTGGGTCTTGACTTCCTGAGCAGCTGCTGAACCTCCTATTAGTCTTAAAAAGATCCATCTCATACCTCTCTAAGAGCTTTTACTATAATAGTATTGAAGATCATAAATATTTTGTGTGTTTCTTTGTGAAATTGCTTAATTTATGGAGAATAATTTCTTTGGACAATTGCATTGTATTTTGGAAGTTATTTAAGAGGAATTATATCCTTTTAACAGCTGTTACTATAACTGATATTAAAGCACATCTTTATTTTAGTTTGAGCTATGAAAACTGCTTTTGGTCTAAAATGTAGAACACACATTTCTGAGTCTCTTTTGTGATGCTGTTTTTAAATCTGCTGTATTGAAAATGTCAGATTCACAGAGGTTGTCTGTCCCTGGGTGTGGTGACAGCATGGTCTGTAGGCATTATTTGGCTAAGAAGGTCCCTGAACCATGACAAAAAGTAACATTCTCTATTTCTCCTTAAAAAGAAAGAAAATACTCTTAAACAAGAAGGAAATTGAGCATTCAACATTGATAGTCTCAGTAATTCTTAAGAGGGGTATATGTGAGAGAGGATTTTATTGACTTTTGATTTCAGAAACAATGGAAACAGGAAATATACATGACATGGAAACTAGTTTGTATCCAGTTAATTTCTTTCCACAGGTGTGTATTCTGTGGTGATAAATACAAGAATTAATTTTGATAAAGAGCTTTTCTGTATTACTTGTAGGTAAATGGAGTAGATCTAAAAGCAGCAACCCATGAACAGGCAGCAGCAGCCCTGAAGAACGCAGGCCAAGCAGTGACTATTGTAGCTCAGTACCGTCCAGAAGGTAAGGGTTGCTTTAGACATTCCATTCTCTTGTACAAATTGAAACTCAGAGAAAGATAATCTACAGTGTCCTTCCACCAAACACCTCCTCTGAAACAAATAATGTAATGGATGTTGTCACTTATATCTATAAGTGCCTAGATTTGAATATCTGCAAGTGTTGCTGCCATGGCTTGCTACATTTCTTGCTTTCACCATTACAGAATTTCTGTTTCTTGAGTAAACACTGCCACTAAACATGAAAATTAATCCAGTAAATCCAGAACTTAATAGAAATACCCTATTGTTCTTTGGTATTTCCAGTTGTCTTCATCCTTTAATATAGTGGTTTTATATGCTTTACTAGTAGGAAGATAGAAGATGAATTATTTCTTTGTTGTGTTGATTCAGATGACCTAAGGAGGCTATCAGGTTTTCGTTTCATACTGAGCTGTTATTTCTATTTATGCAGCAGTTTCTTCTGGTCCAGATTAGACTACAGCTGATGCTGATTAACCATCCTTGTGTGTTCTGCAGAACACTACATCATCAATACACTTATTTGTCCTCTTGTATTTCTGCAGCACATTTCAAATGCCTCTATTTGAAACTTAAAGAATTTGATGGTCTAAAATGAAATGCTTGAGTCTGTAAACTCATCAATTATTGGTATTATATATGCTAAGATGTGTTTGCTGTTTTATGAACTGTGATGATCAGCAAATTTCTCCAATTTTGCTGAATTTGTTGGCCCAGCACTGAATCTTCCTTGCAGAGACTTGTCTGTTTGAAACTTTCCTTTAGCAGTACTGTCAAGGGGTAAGTGTAGGTATCCATCAGGACTGGACATGGAGCAGAACTGCTGCCTTCATCTGTTAGGTGGCTGATAGCAGCACACTTATAGTCGTTCTTTATTTTTTCTTTTCTGTTGTGTTTCTTCTATCCTCATCTCTTCAAATGTTTGAAGCATTATCTTTCACATTCCCCAACCCCACGACCTGCATCAACATCATATCTCTTCCCTTACCCAGGAACAATGTCCACAATTAGGCCAAATGATTAGTTTGTCTGCTTCCTGGTCAAATCCCTGCAGCCAGCCCGTGTTGCCAATGCCTGTATTGTCTCAGGAGGCTGTATCTTGGTCACATGTTCCATCTGTACATTGCTGTGTTCCAGGATTCCTTTTCTAGGAGTACTCACTCTGAGGCTGCCTTTTAAAAAGAACAGTAAGGTCAGCCCTGGTTCTGAAATACTTGCTTTGGCTTTGTGTCAGAATTGCCAAATATTTCTGTTGATGCACATTTGATCTATCCTCTGCTTGGCTCTTCAGTGTTGTCATGGGTGGTTCAAATTGTTGCACCTTCTTGCTTCTTGGGTAGGGGCCCCTCACCTTATTGAGCAATAAAATGTATGCTTTTACTTATCTCTGAGTTGTCCTTCTGAGCACCTGACCACTTTTTTTATTCAAAGAGGTGCTTTCAGGACTAAAACACTTTGTTTCACTTGCCCAAGGATATATGCAGACTTCATACAAAATCAGCAGTTTTTCAGTCCTTTCTTTCTAGGATTCAGGCTTAATATGAAAAGAATCCTTTCGTACTTTGCAAGTCAGAACCTTTTAGAAGAAGAGAACTAAAAATTTTGGATGGTTTCTGCTTTTTCTGAATTGGTAATAACAGCTTTCTTCATTATCATTTGTCCAAGGAGATTTATTTTCTTGCAATGTGTATTGAGGTGCTTGACTGACTGCTGAGATTTTGAGTCATTGCACAGAGATTTGCCCAGAGCAACATCCACTGCCTGTTAGGAATTACTCAGTAACTGTCACTTGTAGATTTCAAGGCTAGAGCTGTACTTACTCCTTCATGGCTATGGACAAGACTGTGCAGCTGAGCTGTATTGAGAATTTAGTTCTCAAAGATTTATATGGCCCTTGAGAGGATGCATGTGAAAGTTACTCAAATTACCAAAGATTATGGGCAGACATCTGACAAAATAATCAAAAGTATTGATTCCCCCCATTCCCCTCAAGATGCTTGGTCTGCATTGAGCATCTTTCCTTCTGAAACGGTGATACCTTAAAATCTCCATTTGGAGTGAAGATGTTAAAATCACATTAGGGCTCACTCTACCCTTTCGAGATATGCCTTGAAGGAAAAGTGTAACTACAAAATTGAGATAATTGTACTTTGGAGGCAAAGTATAAATTGACTCATGGCCAACCTACCTCACAGAGCTTTAGTTACTGGTGTCTGATGTCTCTGCCTTATTCTTACTCCTCATAAAATAAGTTTGCATGGAAGTCCAGCTATCAGCTTGGTTAGGTCTGGTGTGGGAGGCAAATGCAATCAGATGCTCATTGTTTAGATCTTAGAGATTAGTGAAGAGAATGTTTCCTTAAAGGTTACTCTTTGTTGGCATAGGAAAGCAGTCTGTTTGTGATTTGACTTTTCAAATAGAAAATACCATCTGTGTGATTGAGTGCACTTGATAAAAGTGTGTGTGTTCTTTGTTCCTCTTCATATTTCCTAAATGATAGCTTCACATGGTAGTGTTTTGTCCTCACTAGATTCATTTAAATGATAAACTTTTTATGTGTATATATATATATATGTGTGTGTGTTTTTATAATTACCCTCATTTTTTGTTTCTGCCATTTGGAAACAGGTTAACAAGTGTTAAAATATTCATAAAGTTGTTGGTCATTATTGGTGTTTGTCAAATGTCTTCATAAAGATGGAGAGCATCAGTTATAACTGTTTGTATTGCATATGTATTTTATTTATATTTATGAATCCAGCAGGATTTTGTAAAAGATGCTGACAGCTAGGACAGATCAAGGAGATTCTAGACATCCATCAGAGTTCATTATAATTGAGTAAAGAGATTCAGTATGATAGGAGCATTTGGAAGACACATGAGACTGGCTCACTTCACTCCCTGTAATTGTATATGACAGTTTGTATGTTCATAGATGTGGTGGGGAATGTTAATTTACGTTTTTACATTCTATCACATTTCCTATTTTCCTATTAGAAATTTCCTGTTTGTCTTTATCCTCCTATTTTTGAGAAAAGAGGATTTTTGCAAGCAGTTCTCTCAGGAAAGCCTGAGTTAGGCTATAGAAAAATGAATCACTGGAAAACTCTTCTCATGCAAGAGCTTGAATTTTCCGTATCTCTCTCTTCAAATCCATGGTAACTAAACTCTAATTGCTGGGTTTGGGGTAGGCAGTTATGGCTGAATTAAATTGATTTTATTGAATTTGGGCTCAAATTATGTAACCACTGACTTTTCTTTCCCTTAAATCTCCACAATGTTCCTTGTTTATGGAATTGGGTGAAAACAGATGTAATTGCATTCTTTAAAATGTCCTCCTGGGCATTCCTTTAGTTTCCAAGTGTTCAGTAAATTTGAGGGATGCCTTACAAAGTTTTTCTACTCCACTGAATTGAATTTCAGCAAATTGCCAGCACTCTTAGGGGCAAGTAAAAGCCAAACATAGAATGTGAGTGTGTTCTGTTGTTTACAGAAGTGGCTCATGCACTAGGCACCCCACAATTGTACTCAGTTGACCTAAGGCTTTCTCCTTGTAGACTCCAGGCTTTATCTTGCAACTTGCCAGTAGCTAATGCTAGAAACTGGTCACCTACTGGGTTGTACTGGTACATCCTTCTGTGGTACATACATGCCATGGGTGTCATACAGAGTCTCCCTAGCTGGACAGATCAGTGGGTTTGGACCTGTTGGAGCTGCATGCTGCAGAGGAGGGAGCTGTAGTAGATGAGCAGGAGTTAAAAGGAAAAAGGAATTATCCTGCAGAAATATGGTTGGGAAGTCAGGATGTTGTTCTCATTTTCATTTTATTTTCAAGCTTTATTTGGAAGCTTTTCCTTACTCCCTCACTTGTACAACAAATTTCTACCTCCTTTCAAGACATCACTAATGAATAAAAAGGGATTTTGCTTTACTGTGAATTCATCTGGAAAAGAAATACTGTGACCTGGAGCAGTTCCAAAACAGGCGATGTTGCTTCAGTGCACAAAAGTGTTTTGATAAGCTATTTTAATTTGTAGTGGCTTATAATCCATTTCATTTTCATGTTGCTCCCTGGCTCTGCAGACACCTCAATGCCACACTGCTGTGTCTCTTGGTTTCCTGCAGAGGTAGGATGGCAAGGAAGAGTTGTAATGTTGGTGCAGAGGAATGAGAGGAAGCAGTAAGCAATTTGAGTATATGTGTGTTTCCTGGGAGTGGAGATTCAGAATGGTCAGAATTATGATCATGCTGCATAGCAGGGATACAGGGGCTTGAGTGCCTGAAGGGAATGTAGTGAGGAGAGGAGCAGCAAGGGGGAAGTATAGGACTGCAGAGGCTTACAGTTCTTGGAGGGCTCTGTGTGTCACATTGACATCCATTGTTACATTCATTCAAATTAAAAGGTCGTCTGAAATGCAATAATAATACTGCCTCAAAATTCAGAATTTCTGGAAGGTTAGATTTTGCCATTTGTGTTATAGTTTGAGTGCATTTAAGTGTTTAAAAATAATAGACTAGCCAAATAAATATATTAAAAATATGAAAATATATTTGATTGAAATTAGATATAAAGTAATTTAGCGGGTTAAGCTTTCTTTCGTAGTTATACTCAGCTAAATCAGAACTGAGCTGTATTAAGGATGTGGATAACATTAATTGCAGTTACATAAACTGTGAAGCCTGCTCTTGGAGGGCCTTGAAGAAGGCAGCAGGCCAAATCTTTTCACATCAGCAGTCATTCACTGGTCACTTCATCTTTCCCCAAAGCAGGGCAAAATTCAGATAAGCCTGTCATGACAGAAAAGGGTACCAGTCCTTTCTGTTTCCCAAGGATTACCAAAAAATAATTATAGTATCTTTTCTGAAAGAGTAGTAAGATGTTTAAGTGATCAGATTAGCTTCATGTTCTTAGGTGATCTGGTGGATCAGTGTAAGATTAGGAGAAGGTGGAACCAAAACATCCAGAGAAGATTTCAAAGTATT